CAGTTAAGCATCTGTCTTTGGCTCAGGGCATGATCTCAGTGTCTTTGGATAGGGCCTCACATCAGACTCCCTGCTAACTGGGGAGCCTGCTTTTCCTTCTCCCTCTGCTATTCCCCCTCCCCACACTTGTGCACTCACTCTCTCTCTCTCAAATAAAAAATAAAAATCTTAAAAAAAATCAGTGCACTTCTGAAATATGAAAGCAAATAATTAACACACTTCTTAATAAGATAAAATAAAAAGTGACCATTTACAAGAGCATAAAACATAGGAATAAATCTTTTTTAATGTGTACAATTTATAGGTAGCAAATTATAAAACCTTACTGTAAGTCATTAAAGAAAATCTGAAAAAAAAATGGTAGAAACAACTATTTCAAGGATTGGGAGACTCAACACTGTTATGATGTAAACTTAACTGATATACTGTAATTCTAGTAACATTCTCAATGTGGTTTGTTTCACTCAATTTTACATTTAACATACGGTTTTAATATTTATATGGAAGAGCCACAGACCAAGAGTGGTAGAGGGCATTCTAGAAAAAGAACAATGTGTGAAGACTGGTCCTTCCAGATATTAAAAAGCAGCTATAAAGATACAGTAACAAATACAAGTATAAATAAATACTTATACAAAGGAGACTGAGGAGAGAGCTTAGCTATAGACCCAGAACACTGAAATAGACTCATGCAAATATTGAAACCTGATTTGATATAGAGTAAGAATAACACAGTGGTGTGGAAAGAACAGATTCTTAAATCACAATGTGACAGTAATACCAATAACAACAAAATAATAATAGTTGGTTTGGGATAAGGGGAATATAAAAACATATTACTTTTTTCCTTGTATTTTCTTCATTTATAAAAATGAAAAGAAACAAAATAGCAAATACCATTAAAAAAGTAGTGAATGAAAGGTGAGGAAGTGGTGATTATAAGTAACTTTTGAAGTTTGGCTATGAAGAAAAGCAGAGAATTTAGATACTAGTTATAGGGAAGCGAGGACCAGAGGACATTATTTATAATGTTGGAATACAGAGCATATTTATAGGCTGATATGAATGATCCAGTAAAGAGTGAAACCTTGATGATGCAAGAGGGTAAGTCAATCAATTACTTAAAAGTTTGTCTGTACGGGGGACTCTTAATCCTCTAAATTTGATATAAATGAAGCATAATTAAAATGAAGACATTGTGGGGGAGCCTGGGGGGCTCAGTCCTTAAGCATCTGCCTTTGGCTCAGGTCATGATCCCGGGGTCCTGCGATCGAGTCCTGATTCAGGCTCCCTGCTCAGGCGGGAGTGTGCTTCTCTCTCTCTCTCTTTCTCCCTCTACCCCTCCTCCCTGCTCATTCTCTCTCTCAAATAAATAAGTAAAATCTTAAAAGAAGAAAGCAAACAAAATGAAGACATTGTGACCTAAACTGGAATAGCACTGGGTTCTTTTCCAAGTCTCTATTACATTTCAGAAAAAATAGAAATTAGCTGAAAGAAAAAAAAATGCTGGAATACTTCTGGAATAATCCTTTTGACAAGGAAAAATGTAATGTATTCATTAGTGAAAAATACATGGATATCATGAGACCAAAGGAGATAATTTGATACAATTTTACTTTCTTTAGTTTCCATGAGGAAAATATTTTTTCTTGACGGAGGTTGAAGAGTTATTCTTTCAATTTTCTTATTTATAGAAAGTGCTATGGGTCTACTGAACTACTGAAGAACTTATAAATGCATGAGGGCAGGAGTATGAATAAAGTCATACTTACTATAATTCTTCCTTGATGTAAAACTCTCTGTATATATTTTGTTGTACTCTTAAGCCAACCTCAAGATTATGATTCTAATTTATATTAATTTAAAACTCATTTATGAGTAGTTAAAAAAAAGAATCTTGGTAGATGTTATCACTGCTCACAAATATATGGTCCTTCTGTATTTCTGGGCATAGGAGAAGATTGCACTTCCCTATTCCCTTGAATTAAATAGTGACCATGTGACTTTTTTGGCAAATCTAATATGAAAAATGAGTGAGGCATCTTCTGTTGGAAGTCAGTGATAGATTCTTCAGTTTGACTCTTCCTTGCTTCAGTGATTGTGAAAAACATGTTGATGTGGAGGTGCCATAAATTCAACAGCAGCCTCAAATTCTCAGTAACTATAAGGACAGATGCTCTGGGACATGTTTTACATCCTCAGTGATGTGTGAGAAAAAAAAAATGGGTTAAGCCAATGAAAATTTAGGATTGTTATTACCACAGCATACCTTAGACTTTCTTGAAAGACTTAAAAAGCAAGAAGGTAGAGTAGGAGAATTAAACCCCAGGAGAACTAAAAGAAGCTGGGTAGAAGAAAAGTTAAATATTCAAACTAGTCTTAGGAACGGAGTCTTGGGAAGAGTCTTAGGAAAAAAGGGGTTCTACGTGTAAGAAACAGTAGAAAATGTTATGGCATAGTATAACTTGAACTATTTATTCTCTCCTAGTGGAACTGTGTTTGAATGTTACCTACTTAGTTATATTTATTAATACCTTAATGAAATTTTATTTCATGTTTTTTCTATTTTAAAAAGGCTTTACAGTTCTGTGACCAGAATAGCTGTAGTCTAGGATTTTGAGCTGTAATTTCAGAAAATAGAATATGACTAAAAGAAAGTTTCAATATTCATATTCTTTGGGAAAAAAGAAAACTTCTAGCATTTTATTAATTCTTTACGGTGAGATTATCTTGTAAAGTTTATAGTGAGTAAAGAAAGGTAATTAGGGACACCTGGGTGGCTCAGTCAGTTAAGTATCTGCCTTCGGCTTGGGTCATGATCCCAGGGTCCTGGGATGGAGTCCCTCATCAAACTCCTTGCTCAGTGGGGAGCCTGCTTCTCCCTTTGCCTGCCGCTCCCCCTGCCTGTGCTCTCTCTCTCCCTCTCTCTCGCTGACAGATAAATAAATAAAATCTTTTAAAGAAAAAGATAATTAAAAATTATTCTGGTTCTTAATATACTAAGGAAATGTAACACATCATTGATCTTTTTGTACATACATGTTGTCCTTGTCATTTTATTTTAGGCATCTGAGTCTATTTTACCAAAATATTCCTAAAAAGTCTTAAGACTCACAACTGAAAATGTCCCCACCAAAGAATTTCAGAAACCTATTTTTTATGGTTAGGAAGGCACCCCTGCACATAATAATGAGAAAAGATTGTGTCAGTGAATTCCAGGAATGTCCGTTAAAAAGTTTCATACTCTGCCTTTCCTGTTTCCCTCCTTATTGACTTTTAATATTATAACAAACAACAGTATTGTTTTTATCTCGAGGGTCAAATTACAGAAAACAATAAACTGGCTAAGAGTAAGAAAGAACTATTACATAAAATCAAACAAGAAACTAAAGTTCCAAAATTCAGATGACCACTTTGTCCTTACTTTGGCTTGCTTGTGGGAATTTATTGAAGAAGCCTTTTAAACTTCATCAGAAAAGCCTCATACCAGTTAATGATAGTATGGGGGAATAAGAGGTTTTGCTATGTTTAAATTCCATTAGAGCATTGTGGGTTTTCACTTCCTAAGTGGATCTTTAACTTCTGAAGAAAATCCTTTGAGGTCTAAGCTTATTTGCTCTCAGAAAAAATATGGCTTCAGTCACTTCGGGGAAAAAAAAAAAAAAAAAGACAAGAGTAATTTTTGAAAATACATATTCAGAAAATATTTCCCTATCATAAATATGTAGCCAAAATTCATTTTTAAATTAAATTATTAGTTATAATGCATAAGTTTAAATTTTCAATTAAATGAAATCAGCTAAACTGAGCATTAATCAATTGCAATTTTTTTCTTCATTTCACTTAAAGAAGGAAGCATTAAATAATAAGAACAAATAGCTTATAACAGCAATAAGGTAAAATGAAAAAAATATTATGAGTCATTTCAAATCTTATGATATAGTTATTTTCCAAATTTTGGTGCTAGATTTTAATAAAAGATGGATTAAATTCTAGAGTCTCAGGCAAGATAAAATTTTCTTGTCCTACCTAGGGTCCGTTCATAAGTTCATGTTAAGTAAATCCATGATTAGGGTGCCTGGGTGGCTCAGTCGTTAAGCGTCTGCCTTTGGCTCGGGTCATGATCCCGGGGTCCTGGGATCGAGCCCCGCATCGGGCTCCCTGCTCGGCGGGAAGCCTGCTTCTCCCTCTCCCACTCCCCCTGCTTGTGTTCCCTCTCTCGCTGTGTCTCTCTGTCAAATAAATAAATAAAATCTTTAAAAATAAATAAATAAATAAATCCATGATTATATGAGATAAAATGCATAAAAATAATTTTGATACCAATTGTATTGCAAAAATACTGCAAAAATATTGCAAAACCAGTATTTTTAAGCACTATATCTTTCTGACTCACTAACTTGACTCTGAAGCTTTTGGTTAGACATAGAGGATTGACAGATCACATACATTTATCTCCTTATGAAGACTCATTAAAGTGGGAATTATAAAAACCCATAAGGTCAAAGGGACCAAGAAAGCGAATCGCTGCAGTGGAGAAGCAAGGCTCCTCGCTTAGCCGATTTACAACATAATGCCTGCAGGGGGCATGACTGACAGGAAAAATAACCGTTTCCACAGCTCCTGGAAACTAGTTAGGCAAGAAGCAGGGATAAGATGGGGAGCTGAAAACGCGAGACGGTGTGAAAGTCTGTATTTGAACTCCTCCTTCCCAGGTCACTTCTCTACAACTGATAAAGGTACTCCGTTTGTCGGACAGAAAAAAATGCAGGCCGTACCAGTGGCCCACGTCACAAATTCAAACCTAAGTCCGCCTGCCTTCAGGGAAAAGCCTCACCGTCCAGGAAGCCTGGCACACCAATCCCAAGCCTCCAGCTGGGCTTGAGTTCGCCCGGCCTCAGGAAATAGGGCCTCCCAGCCAATCGCGCCGGTGTGTTCTGCGCGGCCGCTTCTGACGCTCTATAAATGCGCTCTTACCCAAAATCCCTTGGGCGGAGTTGGAAGCCTACGCGTTGGCGTGGGAGGCCCCGCGTTCCCCTCGCCCACGGGTTGTTTTCCTTCGGAGGAAGGAGGTCGAACTCGTTACCAAATTATTTAGTTTTCGCTTGAGAGTTCTAGGGAGGAGGTGGGAAGAAGGCTGCTGAAGTCTCAGTACTGCTGCTAGACTCAGGTGAAGGGACTTCGGTTGCTTTTCAGGGATCTCCGGTAAGCTTTTCTCTTCTAGCTCCGTTTATTTTGCATTACGAACGCTGGAGGTTTGTCCTTCTGGGTGAAAAATTGGGGTGTGAGAGAATCCAGATTTTCATGGTGAAACTTCAAGTGTTTCAGTGTTAAATGGAATAGGACAAGACAGTAAAGGGCTAACGGGCGTCATTCAGTCTTGTGACTTGATCCTGCGGTCGTGAGTTTGAGCCCCAGGTTGGGAATAGAGATCACTTAAAAAAATGTTTTGCATCATGGCTTTAGGCCAGAACATGAGTCCTGTAGAGGTAAGACACTCAAAGAACAGAGAAGCAAGACAGAGTTATTTAGTCCTTTCTCTCTTAGGAGAACTGGTAGCTAGTATTTTGCAATGTATATCAAAATTTAACTGATAGTAGTGATATTTATTAATTATTGAAGTATAATTGACATATAACATTGGTTTTAAGCTTGCAACATATTTGTATATTTCTGAAATCATCACAATAAATCTGATTTACATTTATCATTATATAGTTACAAAAATTGCTTTTTCTTATGATGACTTTTAATATCTCTCAGCAACTTACAAATATGCAATACCGTATTATTTACTGTAGTCACCGTGCTGTACATTATATCCCCATGACTTTTTATTTTTTAATTTTTAAAAAAGATTTTATTAATTTGAGAGAGAGAGACAGAGATAGGGACAGAGATAGCGAGAGAGAGCACAAGCAGGGAAGAGAGGGAGAAGCAGGCTCCTCACTGTGGAGGTTCCCTAATCTGACATGGGGCTTCATTCCAAGACGCTGGGATCATGACCTGAGCCAAAGGCAGACACTTAACGGACTGAGCCACCCAGGCACCCTATCCCCATGACTTTTTAATTTTATAACTAGAACTTTGTACCTTTTGGCCTCCTTTACCCATTTTGATCCTCCCCCTCCCCCCCACGTTTGGTAGCCACCAATCTGTTCTGTGTATCTATAAACTTGGTTTTGTTGTGGTTTTTTAATGCTACATATAAATGAGGACATACGGCATTTGTCTTTCTCTGATTTATTTCACGTAGCATAGTGTCCTCAAAAGTCCATACATGTTGTTGTAAACAGCAAGATTTTGTTCTTTATGGCTCAGGAGCATTCCTATGTGTCTGGGGGGCCGGGGGAGCATCTTCTTGAGCCATTCATCCATAGATGAACCCTTTGATTGCTTCCATATCATGTTTATTGTAAATAATACTGCAATGAACTTGGGAGTGCATATGTTTTTCAAATTAGTGTTTGGGGCTTTTTTGGATAAATACCTGGTAGTGGAATTGTTGGTAGTTCTATTTTTAACTTTTTGAGAAACCTTCATACTCTTTTTTCACTGTAGCTGTACCTTTTTATATTCCCACCAACAGTGCACAGGATTTTCTTTTCTCTACATCCTAACACATGATTTGTTGTATTTCTGATAGTAGCCATTCTAACAGGTGTGAGGTAATAATCAGATTGTGGTTTTATTTGCATTTCCCTGATGATTAGTGACTTTGAACATCTTTTGATGTGTCTGTTGGTCATCTGTATATTTTCTTTGGAAAATGTCTATTCAGATCTTCACATTTTTAAATCAATTTTTTTTTTTTTTGCTATTAAGTTGTATGAGATTTTTAAAATATATTTTAAATATTAACCCTTTGTCAGATATATGGTTTGCAAATATCTTCTTCCATTCAATAGGTTGCCTTTTCATTTTGTTGATGGTTTCCTTTGCTTTTTGGTTTAGTCTCTTTTGTTAATTTCTGTTTTTATTGCCTTTTCTTTTGGAATCAGATCCAAAAAATATCCAAGACTAATGTCAAGGAGCCTGCTGCTTGTATGTTCTTCTAGGAGTTTTATGGTTTCAGGTTTACATGCAAGTCTTAATCCATTTTGAGTTAACTCTGTTTATGGTGTAAGATAGTAATCTGGTTTCATTCTTTTACATGTGGCTGTCCAGTTTAATCAGCACCATTTATTGAAGAGACTGTCCTTTCCTCAGTGTATATTTTTGGCTCCTTTATTATAAATTAATTGACCATATATGTGTGGATTTTCTGATCTGTTCTGCTCTGTGTGTCTGCTTTTATGTCAATACCATATTGTTTTAATTATTATAGTTTTGTAAAATAGTTTGAAATCAGTGTGATGCGTCCAGCTTTGGTCTTTTTTCTTAAGATGCCTTTGGCTAACCCAGGGTCTTTGGGATTCCATACAAATTGTAGCATTGTTTATTCTATTTCTGTGAAAAATGCCACTGGAGTTTTGATAGGGACAGCATTGAATTCTGAAGAAAGCTTCGGTTGTATGAACATTTTAACAATATTAATTCTTTCAATCCATGAGCATGGAATATCTCTCCATTTATTTGTGTCTTCAGTTTCTTTCATCAGTGTCTTACAGTTTTCAGTTTGCAGGTCTTTCACTTTATTGGTTAAATTTATTCCTAAGTGTTTTGTTATTTCTGATGCAATTATAAATGGGATTTTTCTTAATTTCTCTTTATGATAGTTCATTATTAAGTATATAGACGTATAACAGATTTTTGTATATTCATTTTGAATCCTGCAACTTTACTGAATTTATTTATGATATTAATGCTATTTAAAGTAATCATAGAACATTTGAATAACAAATATCAGATTTGTTAGCATTTTCCTTTTTTTTTTTTTTTTTTAGAAGATTTTATTTATTTATTTGGGAGAGAGATTGAGTGAGAGAGAGCATGAGAGCAGGATGAAGGGCAGAGGGAGAAGCAGACTCCCCGCTGAGCAGGGAGCCCAATGTGGGATTCCATTCCAGGACTCCAGGATCATGACCTGAGCCAAAAGCAGCCACTCAACCCACTGAGCCACAGGGGTGCCCAGCATTTCCCTTTTTTATTAGACTTTTGTACCTATATGCATAAGTGAAGTAAAATTAAAATTTCATTTTTATTTTTGTCAGATTTTGCCCTGCATTGTAATATCACAAACACTTGTAATACTTGCTGTGAAACTACCTTCATCCAGAATTTTAAAAAGTTTTTTTACTATTTCAGTTTCCCATTAGATATTCGTTGTTGAAATTTTATTTTGTTTTTAGGAGATTTCAGTAAGTTACACTTTCCCAGATATTTCCCACTTACTTATTTTTCATATATATACTATCAAATATTGCATATAGTATAATTTGCATTTGAAAATTTTATTTGTGGTATCATCAGTCAAAATCCTTCCTAATTGGGTGGTGATTTAATTAAATTTGCAATACTTTAATATATTTTATTTCCTATTTTATCCCCCAGAGAAGGATGCCTGGAATGGGTTTATTTTTCTGCTTTACTTTTTTCTAATATATAAAATCTTTCTCTAACTTGTCTATCTCCTCCACTTTTCTTTCTTTGTTTCTCATATTTTTTCAACTTCCTAATTTAATGTTTAAATAATTTTACCCATTTTTTAAAAAATAAGTGTTTGACTTTATCTCAGAAAACAATTGTGAGTACATTCTAAGGCATTGGAAAGAATTCCCATTTTCAAAAATAATCTCTAATTATAAGTAGAATATCCTAATTGAGCCAAGTTTTTAGAGGAATATTGTTTATTATTCAAATGAATATTTTTAATGAAAAATTTGTCAATTAACTTATAATTTTATTACTTTCTGAAAGAGGTGTGACATACAGTTTCTACTCATTGGAGTTTATTGAGATTCTTTTTCACGATCTATTCTTTGGATCTGTTGAGGAAATAATTTTTAGAAATAAGAGCTATCTTACATATTTAGACTTATTAAATGTACTGTACAACTCCCCTATATCCTCATTTTGATTAGGCAAAAGCAAATATGTTTTTTCTTCATTTTATATGTAAACTACATTTTTACAAGGGCAGTATGCATATATGTATTTTACATTTATTTTGAAAGACTGTGGGTGTTTTGTTAATGCCTCATGTATTTCCTTTAATTTATATTTGTATTTCTAAGAATTTCTGATTTATATATTTAAAGTTATGTAGTACAGCAAAATCTTTTTTCTATGGACATTGCTCTCTTTAATGCTTTTGCCTTGACGTATACTTCATTGTTTATTATAACTAATCTTGCATTATTTTGTTGGATTTCTTTGATGAAACTGCTCAATCTGTTACTTACAATTTGTGAATATTATACATTTTATAAGTAATGGATATATAAATCTTTAACATTGACAAAGTTTTTTAAATCTTTTTAATGAGTTTACACTTTTTTTTTAATAAACCATTTGTTTTGTGAATTCTGTTCTTGATGCTTTCAGTGTTTTGTTATTTTATGGACTATTTTTCTTTATATATTTTTTTAATATAGAAAATATAGGTAGTATACATGATGTTTTAAATTTTGTTAGTGGTCATTTTATGCTTACACTCATTGCTAAATGTGATGTGCTAGTTCAATTTTTTATTATGAGTTTTTTTAAATTAATTAATTAATTTATGTGACAGAGAGAGACACCGTGAGAGAGGGAACACAAGCAGGGGGAGTGGGAGAGGGAGAAGCAGGCCTCCCACAAAGCAGGGAGCCCAACGTGGGGCTCGATCCCAGGACGCTGGGATCATGACCTGAGCTGAAGGCAGACACTTAAGGACTGAGCCACCCAGGCGCCCCTTTATTATGAGTTTTAAGAGTGAGGAAAGATCTGGTGATGTCTTAAGAGTTGAAATTGCATTTGACTATAAGTAACTTAAAATAAATTACATTTACTTTTAGAAATAGGAGTTTATTTTTCTCATGAAAAACAAATCTGGAAGTATGTCATGGCTGCTGTTAGTTTAGAGAAGTACAAGGGGGCCAGTGTCCCCAGTATTATCTTGGCCTTTCCCTAATTCTCCTTTCAGGTGGCCTCTCAAGATCTAGTCATGAAAGATTTGTGATCAAGGAAAGAAGAAGGAATCATTAGAGGTTTTACAGAAGCGAGACCTTGCCTGGAAGTAGCTAGCATTAACTTAAGTGAGATAAGCAATTTTTCCCCTTGTT